TCTAAAGTTCAATAAATAACACTACTCACTAGCAACATTTAAAACTAGGTATGAATCTTTTACATACTTTTTTTTTACTTACACGAGTTAATTTTTATCAAAAAGTAAATTACATAAGTAATTTTAAACGTTTTATGTAAATTTACATTTCCGTATAAATAATTAATTTTTTTGAAACGACTTTTACTTTATAATGAAAGTTTTTTTACTATTAAAAGTAAGTTATGTAAAAAAAGACTACATCAAAAAGCAATTTACTTTCACATGTAAAGGTAAGTCACGTGAAAAAGCTGTTTACTTCGGGAGGCTGCATAAGCGCGAATCGGCATATTTGTGAACTGGCATAAGTGCAAAGCGTTGCAAAAACTGGCATAAGTGCGAACTGGCATATGTGCAAATTGGCATAAGTGCGCCAAAAGATTTAGCAAACATTGGCATAAATCCGAATTGGTTTAAGTGCGAAATGGCATAAGTGCAAAGGAGTTGCAAAAACTGGCACAAGTGTGAACTGGCATAAGTCCAAATTGCCATAAGTGCGCCGAACAAATTTGAAAACATTGGCATAAGTGCGAATTGGCATAAGTGCAATCTGGCATAAGTGCGAAGCAGTTTCAAAAACTGGCATAAGCGAGAACTGGCATAAGTGCGCCAAATAAAATTTCTAATATTGGCATAAGTGCAAATTAGTATTTCGCACTTATGTCAATTCGCACTTATGCCAGTTCACACTTATGCCAGTTCGTACTTATACCAGTTTTTGTAACTGGTTCGCACTTATGCCAGTTTGCATATAAGCCAATTCGCGTTATGCCAAAGTTTTCAAATTTGTTCGGCGCACTTATGCGCCAAACAAATTTGAAAACTTTGGCATAAGTGCGAATTGGCATATATTTTTTATATTATGTAATGTAATTTTCTTTTGAAAATTACATTACATAATATAAAAGCTCCTCAAACTGTAATTTACATTTGCCTATAAAAGTAATTAATTAAAAGAAATTATATTAAAAAGTAACTTGCATAAAAGTAAATTACATAAAAGTAATATGCTACCAAATGTTAATTAAATTTACAAATAAAGTAATATTTTTTAAGTAGGAATTTTTATATTAAAAGTAATAACAAATCTTTATTAAAAATAAATTATATTTTTTTAATAACATTTGATTACCGAGGTTTTAAGTATTTCTTCCCTGTATAGTTTGAAAATATTAATAATAGGTTTCCGCCCATAATTAAATTCTCTCTAGTTCCTGTCCATGATAGTTTTAGCTATAATAAACATTCTCTAAATCAAACCGTCTCAAAAATGTTCTCTCTCTGGCCAACCATTCGAAAGGTCTGGAATTTAGACAAAGCTGAAACAAGAAAATTAAAAGAAGGCTAATGAAGACTAAAGAAAGAAGGCTAAAGAAGGCTATGGGAGACTCAAAAAAGACAGCTTATTTGAAAGGAAAATAGTTGGCGTAATTGTTAGTTGTCTTTAATAAGTTTTCGCGTAAATGTATTTATTATTTAAAAACTAATGAGAGAAAGTGTTAACTGTCCTGAATTTTGGGGACTATAACACCATGCCCAGAAGATTAAGGAGTCCCTAACTTTTTAAGTGGACGCTTTATTTTGTAAAAATTTTTAGCCACTTTGATAGGAAAAATGTCCACCTACTTAAAAATACCCTTTGACTCTAAAAGTCTTGGTTTAAATAACTACAATACTTTCATATGCGGATGAAAAATTTAAAACTTTTCGCGTAAATATCTTTATCTGCGTGTAGTATGCGTGTAGTGGTCTAGATACCGTAAGGCCATTATAAGCAAAACTTAAAGTCCCACAAGTAATTGAACCTAGAGCCGAAAGGTTTAGGAACCCTAAGATATATTTAAAGAGTTTTTTTTACTTTTTTTAGAAAATTTATTGTTCCAGAGGTTTCAAATTGAGCACCTTGGCCACGTAAGTCTACTGACCAAAAATACTTTGCTACGCCACTGTCTAATATATGTATAACCCGAGCTGTAGCTAAGCAATGATTTATACGTAGATTAAGAAATAATCATAATCTACGCATCCAGTGATTGAAGCCTGAAAAAAATACCCTAAAACATTTATTTATTTTATATTATATTTATTTTATATATTTCGTCAATAAACAATCATTTTACAATATATTTTGTAAAAATTAAAAATTAAATCTTTATATTCTGACAGGAGCAAGTAGAAGACAATGTCTTATCACCCTGCTCCTATGTTCGTGAAAATATCAAATAAGGTTTACGTATTAAGTTCCTAAAATATACGTTATATAAGTTTTATACATATTACAAGTTTTGTACATACTATAACATATTACAGCTCATAAAATATATAAGTTATAAGATGCATATATACGTGTTAACAAATCGATATATAAATGTTTTTAAAAATATAAAAGAATGTTTTTATTATTCAAATCTAATAAGTATCGTTTAACTGCTCTTTTAAATAGTTCAATTGAAGTCATGTT